GTTATACAGGGGCTGCAGTGGCGGTCTGTGCTCCTGATGTCTTTTCTGCAGCTCCACCAGACGCCTGAACATGTCAGTTTGCTCCCCCATTAGCCTCAGCATTGCATCCTGCCTCCTCTCAGCGTGCTCCTCCCTCCTCTCATCGCATTCATTTAACGCTTTCCTGGACTCTGCAATTGTTTGCCTCCACACATTCTGCTGAGCTCTTTTAGTGTGGGAGGACTGCATGAGCTCTGAGAACATCTCGTCATGAGTGCATTTTTTTCGCCTTCTAATCTGCGCAAGCCTCTGGGACGGAGATGATAAGGGGGGACGGACGTAGAAACATTTGCAGTTGCGGGAGGAAAGAAAGGGAGAGTAGTATTTAAAAAAAGATCCCTTTTTTCTCTAAAATGTAAGACTATTTCACACTGAATCAAGCAATTCACATTACATAGCACATGTGCTTTTGGTACAAGGTCGCATTTTGCCTCTTATGTTGAGTGCCTGCCAGTTTGGTGTGAGACATCACACACTCTCGGCGGGGCAACAGAATTAGGCTTGCAGGCAGCCATGGTAAGGCAAAGGGTTTCGGCTTCTTCAACCTTCATAACATGTGGGAACGGTTTCAAACAGCAGCACCCTCCTTTCCCATACCAAGCAAAGCCCGTTGGGTTGGCCATTTAAAAGGAGAGGCTGTGGTTTTAGGGTGAATGTGCAGCACAACCCAGCCCCCCCTCCCCCCCCCACCACCCCCCAATTCTCTCGGACGATCACTTCACCCCCTCCCCCCACCATGTGGCTAGTATCTGGGAAGATCCCTGTCAGCCAAACGCGAACAGCTCAGCATGAACGGGCCTCCCCCCACCGCGTGGCTAACAGCGGGATGATTTATTTTCAGACAAAGGCAAACAGCCAAAGCCTGGGCCCATTCGCTGCAAAGTTTTGTTCTGCAATGATTCCAGACTACTTGCTACTGGCTTGGCATGGCAAATTAATCATTAAACACGCTTGCTTTTAAGCCCTGTATTATATTTAAGGTACACTCACCAGAGGTGCCTTCTCGGGCTTCATGGTCCGGGAGCCCACCTTGGGAGGGTTGTGAGGGTATTGGCTCCAGGGTGATGAACAGTTCCTGGCTGCCAAGGAGAAGGGATTCTCCACTTGCCTGCTGTGCGCTATCCTCAACCTCCTCCTCATCATCATCCCTGTTGCGTGAGACTCCCCCCTTGCAGGTGTTCACGGACAGTGGTGGGGTAGTGGTAGGGGCCACCCTTAGAATTGCAAGCAGCTCATCATAGAACCAGCATGTATGGGGCTCTGACCCGGAGCGACCGTTTGCATCCTTTGTTTTTTGGTAGACTTGCCTGAGCACTTAATTTTCACGCGGCACTGCTGTGTGTCCCTGTTGTAGCCTCTGTCCATCATGCCCTTGGAGATTTTGGCAAATATATTGGCATTTCGTCTTTTGGAACGGAGTTCTGCCTGCACGGATGCTTCTCCCCATACAGCAATCAAATCCAGTACCTCCTGTTCGATCCATGCTGGAGCTCTTTTGCGATTCTGGGACTCCATGGTCCCCTGTGCTGATGAGCTCTGCATGGTCACCTGTGCTGACTAGCTCTCCACGCTGGCCAAACAGGAAATGAAATTCAAAAGTTCCCGAGGCTTTTCCTGTCTACTTGCCCAGTGCATCTGAGTTGAGAGTGCTGTCCAGAGCGGTCACAATGGAGCACTCTGGGATAGCTCCCGGAGGCCAATACCGTCAAATTGCGTCCACACTACCCCAAATTCGACCCAGCGAGGTCAATTTTAGCACTAATCCCCTCACTGGGGAGGAGTACAGAAATCGATTTTAAGAGCCCTTTAAGTCGACAAAACAGGCTTGGTCGTGTGGACAGGTGCACGGTTAAATCAACCTAACGCTGCTAAATTCGACCTAAACTCGGAGTGTAGACCAGGGCTAAGGTGCCACAAGTACTCCACGTTTTTATTTCTAAATGATACTAGCTCTTAAGGAATTCCATGCTAAGGATTTCATATGACAGTGAAGTGAAGGGCAGCATTTCCAAAGTCGGGCCCCAATCCTGCAAGCACTTAAGCACCTGCTTAACTTGATGTAGATGCAGTGGCGCTGGAAAAATTTGTATAGTGGAGGTGCTGAGAGCCATTGAACAAAACTGTAAACCCTGTATATGATGGAAACCACTTCAAGCCAGGGTGTGCTGCAGCACCCCTAGTTCCAGCACCCCTGTAGAGAGGAGTTGGAGCCAGCAGGACTATTCATGCATCAAGTTAAACATGTGCACGGGTGTTTGCAGGACTGGGGTGCCGGATTGCTAAAGTCAGGTTGCCTATTTGGGCACTTAAGTGGCATGATTTTAAAGACATTGAGCACCTGGAGGTGAGAAGCTGCAAGTGCGCAGCACCTGTAAAGTATCACACTACTTGTCTGGGTGCTTTGAAATTTAGATTTAGGTGTCCAGCTTTATGCATCCAAATATGACACTTTGGGACTAATGGCTCAGTCCTGCTCACACTGAAAAACCACTCGGTAGGGGTTTTGTCATTGGCTTAGCTCGGAGCAGGTCAGCCCTTAATAATACAGAGCAGAAACAAAAATGAGAGGCTGACCATTCCACCTAGCCTGTGTCTACACTAGCCTTTTCCCACCCCAAATATATATATATATATATATATATATATACATACACACACACACACACACACACACACACACACACACATTTCCACAAATATGTTTCTACATCTCACATTTCTCTCTCTGGTACTTGCAGCCGTTTAGTTAAACAAGGTCCAACGCCTGTGTGGACACTTTAACTTCAGTTTCAGAGGGGCTTAGTTTAGTTTAGCTTTACCCTGTTCCTAATCAACTTAAACTCAACAAACTAAGCCCAGTTTCAACCTAAGTAAGAGGGTTCCCACAGGCTTTGCACCAGTTCAGTTAAGTTGGTTTAAAAAAAAAATCACCACAAATTAAACTAGGACAGCTCTGTGTGCAGAGAAGGCTTGAGATGAAAAGCATTCTTTCTAACACAGCTGTAAGGTTAGCCACAAATATTTTATTGCTGCTGCTTCAACTTGCTGAAGAGAGCTTTACACAATTGCTATTGTGTAATATGGGAAATACAAAGAGGCTCTGTCTGGGGTTAAGAAAGTCCTATCTAAGCTGCTGTGGACTTCACCAAAATTTCCAAACTTCATTTCACCTTGAACTTGTCACTCATTCCATTCTGGTCATGTTAATACATTCCAAAGTTAACAGTTTATGTGTTTTAAACAGACTTCTCTGTTTAAAATTTTATAATTTCATACAGGCACACCTCTTTTTACACTTCATTGTTCAATTCCGTCTTGATAAGAGATGCTGCATATAGGGAATCAAATGGACTTCTGCATAATTTATTCTTTGTATTACCATAAATTGCTTATTGTTATTGCCCTTCCCCTGACCGCTGTTTACTTGTCTCAGACTATACACTCCTTAGAACAGGGACTGTCCTCCTTACGTGCTTGGAAAGCACTTACCAGTCAGTGAGCTCTACTGCAAATAAATCATAATGGACCTGAATCAAAACCCTGCATTTGAACTTCCCCGGATTACAGAAATGCAGGTGGCCAATATCTAGCTCCAGATCAGAACTGTTCATCTCTGGCTCACCTCTAGTAGTGATGCTATTGCAGAGATAGCGATCTTGCTCGGAAACTTTCAGGGACGCTTACAGAAAAAAAAATTAGGGAGGTTGCTTGGACTTCTCTCTCCTCCCCCAACCTGCAGAATCCGGGTTCTCTCTCCCTCCATCTCCCCTACCCTAGTAAAAATCAGGACCTTTTGCCCCTCCACTCCCTATCTATGGCCAACAGGGTGGGGCCTGAGCAATGCCCCAACCAACCCCCACTGCCAAACAGGGAGAAGGAGAGGATCAGCTCTGAGGAAAGTTGCCCTCCTATGCTGCCTTGGGCTCTTCATTACCTGGGCCAGTTCCAGGCCTGGACCTCCTTCCTGGGATGATCCTTCTCCTCTGTCACATTCCCTTTCTCTCTTCTTCTTCTGCCCCCATCTCCTCTTGTCCCTCCGGCTTCTCCTCCCCTGCAGGCTGTGCAGTGAGGGACTGAGAGCAGGCAAGCCACAGCGACTGGCAGTGAGGTTTGGGGTGGTGAATGCAGCATCCAGGCCACAGGTGGTGTGTGTTGTGCAGTGGTTCTCAACCAGAAGTACATGTACCTGGGGTACATAGAGGTCTTCCAGAAGGTACATCAACTCTTCTAGATAGTTACCTAGTTTTACAACAGGCTACATAAAATGCACTAGTGAAGTCAGTACAAACTAAAATTCCATACAGACAAAATGAGCCCGTAAGCATTTTCAGTAAGAGTGTGCTGTGACACTCATGTCTGATTTTGTAAGCAAGCACTTTTTTAAGTGAGGTGTAACTTGGGGTAGGCAAGACAAATCAGACTGCTGAAAGGGGTCCAAGCAGTCTGCAAAGGTTGCGAACCACTGACCTAGAGCGTGTTCACATAGCCCAGCACGGTCCTCACCGGGCAGTTAGAGCACGACCCCACCCCGTGTCTTGGGTGGGGAATTCAGCAGCATCCCAACCCATTCAAAATCACCTCCTGTGAGCCCCTCAGTGCGCAATCCGTGTATGTGCCACAGGAGTGGTGGAGAAAAACACCCCCCAAGGCCTTATGTGCTGTGTTCGTCGGGCCTGAATGGCAGTGACACACACACACTTTATCTGTGTGCTTGCACAAGTAGAAGATTTATGCCTGAATTCATAATTATATGTAAAAAACCAGGAGGATTACTAAAAATTAGAGGGGGTTGGCATCTCTGCAATTCTTTGTGACCATTAACAAGTGGAAAGAAGGGAATTTGTTGGGGAAGCATGAGATTCCTTTGAAAAATCTGAGCAGATTATTTTGGCTACATTGTCCATAGCAGTAGCACATGATACCGATTACCATTAAATCATTGCTTTTACTTCTCTCCCTAGGAGAGGCTTACAAACAACATTTAACGCTGACACTACAGAACTGGAAAATGTCCTGACTGATGTGACAATGAGCTTCAGAAAGGATGTTCTTGATAAACTAAAACAAAAAACGCAGGTAAGAAGAGTTCGGAATGTTTGTGGGACTTGATCTGAACCTGGTAGTTCAGGATTTATTGCCATTTCCCCAATACACATCCCATTTTCCATGGATAGGAGATCATGGTCATTTCAAAATGTGGCATGTCTAGTTTTGGTACTAAACCTCTCCAACCCCAAGTCAGATTTCTAGGGTTTAAGGCTTTTTGTTACAAACATTGATGCACTGGTTAAGCCACAGGAGCAAAACAAAAAAGTATATTTGGGGGCTTCTTAGCATACTGTATCCTAAAACAGCTTGGGTGAATTTCACTCCTGGTGAAACCCCAGTGAAGGCAGTGAGATTACACCAGAGATGAATTTGGCTGTTTGATTAAAAAATAGCTTTCTAGGGGTTTTGTTTAGCCTAATTTATTCACAAGTCTGCCATCATGATCTATTACAGGGGTCGGCAATGTTTGGCACGCGGCTCGCCAGGGTAAGCACCCTGGCGGGCCGAGCCAGTTTCTTTACCTGCTGACGCAGCAGGTTCGGCCGATCGCGTCCCCCACTGGCCGCAGTTCACTGTCCCGGGCCAATGGGGGCGGCGGGAAGTGGGGCGGGCGAGGGATGTGCTGGCCGCGGCTTCCCACCGCCCCTATTGGC